ATCGGTCAAGCCGTTTAGGCTGTAGGCCGTGCCAAAGAAATATAGGTACATACATACATACACTCGAAAAACATAACCCTCCTTCTGGCGCAGTCGGGTAAAAAGATCACCTTGTTTATTTGGCAATATTTCGACATTAACAGATGTTTACTATTTATGTATAGAGTGATTAGCCCAGAAAAAGAAATTAGTTTTTTGAAAGGTCTTAATTTGGCTTTTTTGTAACTTTTTGGACTTTAAATAAAAGCCGTCATTATTATAAGCCATTTTATTGATATTTACCTCAAAGATTAATGTATTTCAATTAATTATAGGAAAATGTCGATTTTTTTAAATATCCGGTATCCGGCCGGATAGTGAGTTACTATCCGGTATCCGGCCGGATAGTAAATTTAGGCCGGATATCCGGCCTACCGGATAGTTACCGGATATCCGTTTCATCTCTAACCACCCGCGACGCGAACTTTAAAGATTTTCTTTTGACACAATAATGGTGCCCCAACAATATTGGTGTTATTTGAAAGCCCAATAAATATCCTTAAAGAAAAACACATTTTAATTTCTTAATAAATGATTAACATATACCATAAATGTGACTTGAAAAAAGACCTCACTTTGGGTTCACCTCTGGGATCAATTAGACCAAATTTTGTGGTTATAAAACCAAATAATGATCACACGTGTCCTCTTTAACAGATGGATAGCGATTAATCCCAACTTAACAGTTTTATAGCCATAAAAGTTGGCTCAAGCGTAACTATCTATTTTTTGAAGAAGTGACTCTGGATCCTTCTAAAGAAACATTTTTGGGGTAAAAACCTTTCCTATAATGAAATGAAGTTTAGAACTAGGCTTTTGAATGGTACGAATATTGGTGTGAAGTGGGGATGCATACGTTTGAAAGTGCTTGTCGCGGGTGGTGCGATTTATTTGCTGTCGAGTGTATTTATGTATAGAGTGATTAGCCCAGAAAAAGAAATTAGTTTTTTGAAAGGTCTTAATTTGGCTTTTTTGTAACTTTTTGGACTTTAAATAAAAGCCGTCATTATTATAAGCCATTTTATTGATATTTTCCTCAGAGATTAATGTATTTCATTTTATTAATAGGAAAATGTCGATTTTTTAAATATCCGGTATCCGGCCGGATAGTGAGTTACTATCCGGTATCCGGCCGGATAGTAAATTTAGGCCGGATATCCGGCCTACCGGATAGTTACCGGATATCCGTTTCATCTCTAGTATAGACTGTTTTTATCACTTGTCTTCAAAATGACATCTCAGTCAGTCTTCTTCTCAGCACCAGCCCATAAGTTGTCCTGTAGTAGTGTAGTGTAATCTATATTTGGTATGTGTGTGTATAAATGACCTGAAAAGGGCTTACATACTATTAAATGGTTTGATTAACACTTTGGTGGACAGACAGGTTAAGAATTGCTTCCCAATATGACACTACTTATTCACATACATTGCCTATGTGAGTAGTGTCTATGTAAAATGAGTAAAAACTATGACGTCTAGGAGTTCTGTCATGTCATCCTTTACTACCTGAACGCCTGTGGACATTACTGTCCATCAATGTGTTAATGATTTTGCCTATTTCCACATTTCAGAAAGTAGCCATCAAATACTCCGGCCTCAAGCCAGCAATGTACACCAACTGTCGGAAGATAGTGCAGAACCTTCTGGAGCTTAATGATGATAAGCTTTCCACTCTGGTGGTCTGCAACACATTCCAATGCAGCAGTGTCCAGGCATTGGCTGATAGGATACTGGAGGAGTATCAAGGACAGGCTAAAATGGTATGTTTGATAAATAACCCACTCCCATATCTATCATATCACTTTTTATTCACACCCTGGCTGCACATAATAATGTAATAAAGTACATAATGACAATTTTACGTTTTAATTTCATGCTGACCATGAAATGACAAAGTTGTGTAAAAATGAGCATCATTTCGTCAGGTAATTTAACTGAATTTTTGTGGGTAAATATTGTAGTTTATTGTATTATTTTTTCCAATATTTCTTTGAATGGTTTTACTCCCTTTGAGTATTACTTTGGTTCAACCTTTTTTTTGTTGCTGTACCCAAAATTTATTTCTACTATGCAATGCTTGTATGTTAAATAAATTGGGGTACAACTCAGCTATCAACTTAGAAAAGATCATTTAATTTATTGAATTTTATTTTATTACAGGAATTGGACATGAATTTGCCCCAATATGTGTGTATGGCTGTATATCAAGCTTGCAGGTAAATATTTTATTTTGTATATGTATTTCTATTAAATCTCTTACCAGCATTCATTGTTAAAATTATGTAGGTATCTATTTTAAGTTAAAAGTCTGACTGTTGGCAAGTTTTTCACTCTACTCATTATTTAAGGACCTAAGTATGTCTGAAATAAATGTTTTGATTTGTTTAATCTGTAAATTATTTAATTACTATTTCAGAATAAACAAAGTAAAACTATCAAAGAGTAAAATAATAGAGAAGTCAAGACTGAAACCCGCACAGTGGGCCAAGTTGGATGCGGACTGGACAAAGTTCGTTGACCAAAACTTTGCTGCCGCCAAGAAGAAGAGGGGCCGCCCGCCGAAGAAAGTGGAGGTGGAAAATGGTAAGTTATAATATTAATGTTTTTGTGCAAATAAAACATTACAGTGTTTTGTCTTACTGTCATGTCTTGTAATTTCTAAATTGGAGTTATGTGTGGCATCTCACAAGCTAGAATCTGGCAGTAAGCCTGGGAAACTCAGACCCCCTTATTATAAAAAGTTAAAATCGGTACGAAAATGAAATTTCCATACTTAAATGTCAATTTAAACCAGAGTTCAACCCTCAGATCATAGAAGGGAATAGATGTGAAACGGGGGCGTGGCGCGTGTCTCCGCGATATGCCCAGAAACGAACATCGCCCGCGACGCCAGGTTAGTCGCGATTCAGTCGTACTGAGGAAATGTTCTCCGATATTGTTGGATAATGCGTCGTAACGTGCAATAACATAAGTGAAACGAAGAACTACAGGAACAATGAAGTCATTTACCACATGTAAGTATTGCAAATCCATTGGTATTTTGCTTATAAATAGAAAAAACTAAACATTTTTACGACCGAATTCAGTGCCGTGACATTTACTGCGATATCGAAATTAGTGGTGATAAAAATTCAAACACGTTGTACATTGACGATTTAGTTAGCAACCACTTTATGTCATGCGTAACTACTGCGCAATGTATTTTATTTCTTCCGATATCCACTGACGCGTGAAAATACACAGTACGGCCGCATGTGCCGGTCGTAACATAGTGCAGGGCTCGTGTTCTAATACGGTTTCCTATTATCGATAAATAGAAGTAAATTATTATTTTCTATTTTCTAATTTTGAATGAAAAAATCATGAGTTGCTTGCGATTTTTAAGTTTTTACAAAAACAATAACAATAGTAGAAGGGATTAGTAACTGTCAACTATGTAATTACTATAAGAGCTAGTTGAAAGCCTAATATAGGCATTATTTTTGATAAACATAGGCGGTACGAATTTCGCCATAATTAAAAAGTTAATGCGCGATAGTAGTTAATAATAATTACAGTGATCCTGTTATTATTATTAAAGTAAATAATAATTATATTACCAATATTGTAAATACTGGTAAAAATCGCAAGTACCTAAAAGTCATGGGTTAAGCCCATGACTTTTCATACAAACTTTGTCAGTCTATAACTTCTATACTCCATCGATAACGACATTGAGCTTTGGTTGGGGTAAATTAATATAAGTAAGGTAACTTCATTTAGTCCCAATAATTGATTCTGAGTTTTTCGTCCATACAAAATGGAACTGACTCCTTTATGCAAAAATCGTTAAAGAACATAATAATAACGTATAATAATAAAAAGGTTTTCATACAAGCATTTTTTAAACCAATTTCGAGCCTTGCCCCCAGGATTTAAAGTATCGATATCTTATCGACTATATTTTATCTTTCTTCTCTCTAATTGCTTTTTTCAAAGTGTGCGTCACGTCACGCGGCCATTGTTTGGCCATAAGGCACGCCTTCTGGCCAATCACAGCACTTTTAAGCCGGTTGCACATGTTGTCGTAGACTCTCAGTCGCTTTGTTTTTACACAGTTGAATGTGTGTGTGGGAGCTGTGGTGGGGGAAATGTGGGGACACTGGTTCTCGTTGTAGTTACGCGCGACTTCATATCTATTCTCTTTCTATGATCTGAGGTTCAACCAGAGTCTAACTTTTTGTGTTAAGAAGGTAAGGGACAAGCTAGGCACTCCGTTTGCCCCTCGCGCGTTTTGATAACTCACGACTGCATGTGGACACAATGAATCTTTAGGATCTCAAAATCGCGCGATTCGAAACGCGTGCAAAAAAACGCGTCATCTGCACAACCTCATAATACCCCACACGTTTTACTTACAGGTGAAAACGAAGTCAACATGGAAATAGACATACCAAAAATAGAAGAGCCTTCAGAACCAAAGATAGAACCTTATGAAGACTGGAAGCGCCGCATGCTAGAAGCAGCTTACAAAGAATTGAAGATGAAGGAAGCACAGAGCGTTAAAACTATTAAGAGCGTAGAAAAAACGCCGAGGCGGTCGCCGCGGAAAACACCGCAGAAATTTTCACCGTACAAAAGCCCTACGAAGGGAGCTGTGAGATTATTGTTCCCTTTAAATATGTAATTTATTATTGTTTTTTACTGTTAATCAAAAACTATTAATGTTAAGTTTAGTGTTAAGTTTAAATTATGCATTTTAGGAATATCTCGACATTAATTTTTAGGCTGTATGTGGTTCAATATTAAAGTCTGACATGTAAATTTATTTTGGACATTGAATAAATTGTGTTTTTAAACGTATTTGTTTTTTTCTAAGCTTGTTTATGTAGTCACTTTTATATGCGTCGGTCAATTTCACACATTTACAACTTTTAATTCTATGTGGCTATGACTATGACTTTTGTCATAAGACAACCAAAATGGTACTTTTTACCATATTGAAAATACTCCCATTATTCTTCACTGTGACATTCGGTCAAGGAAATATTACCACTAACGAGCTACTGCAAGATCGTTCGAAATATGGCGGGAACATCACCTTTGACGACCCGGGCCGACCGACCCTCGCGTACCCAACCTCCCTCGGCTTCCTATTCATCTTCATAACCATCCTTATCGGCGTTGTAGTAAGAGCTATAATGCTATCAACCAGCATGTGCATACCATACCGCGTAGTGATGTTCTGCCTTGGCGGATTAGCTGGATTCTGCGCCAACCGCTTTCCAGACTTCAAACCCTTCGTAGATATCTGCTACGTCGATGTCGACGTCCTTTTACTAACATTCCTACCTATAATCGTCTTTAACACGTCCTACAATGTGGACTCCCATTCGTTTTGGAGATGCTTCCCCCAAATTTTGCTCGTCGGAGTACCAGGGGCGTTGTTAACTGCTCTTATGGCAGCGTTCATAGCGTACCACCTGATAGATTCTTCGTGGAATCTCCCTACTGCCATCTTGTTTGGGGTCGTCTGCTCTCCGATATATCCTATGGAAGTAGTGAAACAGTTGAAGGAGATGACCAAAGGGAAGTACATAAGCGTGCTGCTACTGGGTGAAGGGTTGATAGGAGATGCGACGGTCATGATTGAGTTTACAGCAGTTTTTGGGTACTTAGCCTTAGCTGTCACTGATGCGTCCCAGATCGCGTTGCTTTTGCTTCGGTACGCTGGCGGAGGGCTTCTTCTTGGCTTTGCTATGGGAAAGATATCAGGGACTTTACTGTCTCTGACCTATTACGACCTGTTATGTGCTGTGACTGTGACGCTGTCTACTGCCTACCTCACGTATTACATAGGAGAGAAGTTCTTATACGTGTCAGGACTCTTGGGGACTGTCATAGCTGGTGTGCTAGTGAGCTATAGGAAGTCGACTGTGGCGGGGGAGGTGGAGCAGGTGGTGGCTCACTTCTGGAGCATACTGGCTCATACGGCGAATACCCTCGTGTTTACTATGGTGGGGGTGGTGATATTCGAGAAAGTGAGCTATGGGATGAGCATGCGCCAAGTGTCGCTGGTGTTTGTGACGTATACCACTGTGTATTGTTCCAGGTAAGAAATATTTGTATCTTAGACACAACGACCGAGACTGGAGACCAAGACGGGAGATTGCGACCGTTACTTGACTTTAGGCCACACCTTTAGGCAATGTTTAAATATCAGTTCGGTAGCCTAGCTCAATTATATCAGATTTTTTTCTATGTACCAGTTTTACCTGGTTTTATACCGACTGGTAATAGAGGCTAGCGAGACAGAAATGAATTTATGGAATAAATGACTAAGTAGGACATAAGAGACAGATCCTAAGTAAGTAGCGGTCGCAGTCTCCCGTATTGGGCTATTGTCTTTATTGTAGGTAAGTAGTTATTACGTTGAATAAGTAACGGTTTATCTCTAATTAATTCTGTTGTCGTAAAACCGGGTCTCCAGCGCGTATTTTGCACTACGATGTACATAAATAAATAGGTTTTAATCTCATTTCTTCCAAGGCTGCTGGTGTACACAGCAATGATGCCGCTTCTCCGCCACGTGGGCTATGGCATGACATGGCAACACTGCATGGCTTGCGTGTGGGGCGGTCTCAGAGGCCCGCTCTCCCTGTGCCTATCGCTGATCATCCTCCACATCCCTACTGTGGCTGACGCTGGTGACGTAAGAGCTGTTTATGAGAGTAGATTTGCAGCAATTTGCTGCAGCGCTGTTAGGCGAAGGTGCCTATAGTTAGGCGTGAAGCACTGTATGGCTAGCACGAAAAACTTTCGAGTTCGAATCGTTTGCGTATTCAAATCGCCATCAAAAGATTTAATAGGAAAACTACAACAGCGCCCTTGTCGTAAAGTGAACTTTGCAAATGGTTGCACGAAACTTATTTTGAGAATCAAAATTATCACGCTATCGCTTAATTCGAAGGTTGAGTATCGAATTTTGTCGAATACGTAAACGACTCGAAGACGAAAGTTGTTCATGCTAGAGGTACTGATCATCATTCTACGACATATTCTCGCTCTGGCTGCTGTAGGGATGTAAGATACATACTATTGTACCTACCTAGATGTAATAGACAGCAGAGAAAGAAGTCTGTTACAAATTCTTCACTCTTGATTAGCGACGAAATTCTTTAGGTCCTATATTTATTAAACACAACCCGATCGAGTTAACTGCGCACCTGGCAGCCGTGACGTCACATCGACGCTCTGGTCACGGTAATAATATCATACAGTATTGTAACTTCATATAAACCGACGAAACGAGAGCTTTCCTTCGAATTTCAAATCTCGGGACGCGGTCGAGATGAAAAAATTAGGGGTGTCGCAAATGTGCCGAACGGACGTCGATGGCCTAGTGTTGAAAATTACTAAGGTAAATTTGTCAAAAACTAGTCATTAACTGTCAGAAATGGTCATTTTCAGTCAGTTTGATTTGAAATGAAAATTATATATTGTATAAAACCAGCTTTTGCCAACGATTTCGCCCGCCTGAAAGTAACAAGTCTTTAAGTACTCATTATGATTAGTAGATTCAAAATTATTTTAGTATATTTTTTAAATTAAATCTACTAATCACAAAACAACACGCATTTTTATCCTATTCCATTCACAAAGTATTTTGTTTGTCTAAATAAAAAAAAATTACAATCACAAAACTAGCTATAGAAATTCTAAGTAGACAGATGTAATTAGAATGGGTACCTACTGTAGGTGAGCAGCCCTATCGCATGTTTTCATACCGTGACGTACCGCGGGGCTGTTGACATGACATTTATTTCAAAAATATGGCCGAGTTGGAATACTTTATAGATAGTATTACCGTGCTCTGGTACGGATGGGGCGTATGCGGGGAGGTGTGCGAGGGAGAGTCGCATCCTAGCCTCTGTGGTCTAGTGGTAAGACCACCTGCTTCAGACGCAGAGGTCCCGGGTTCGATTCCCAGTGGGGGCAGATTTTTCTGTTCGGTTTAGTTGGTGGTAGGGCTTGTTCTAAGTCCGCCTGTCTAGTTACCACCATCTTACCTAAGCCTGTCGCCATAACAACAATGTTAACAGCATTGTTGTGTTCCGGCAGTTAGAGGTAAGATAGCCAGTTCCTCCGTGGTTGAGAATGGTGAGATACAGGCCAAGAGCTTCCTCGTTGTGGATAAAAAAAATCCAGGTGCACAGTTCGATCGGGTTGTAGCTTATTAACTTTGAGTAGTTAGATTATCGTAGTTTATTTTCTAACAAGACGACAACCTCCAGATCTTCATAATCCAAACGGCTGGACTGGTTCTTCTCTCCCTACTAATCAATGCCACCACCATGGGCAAGGTTCTCAAGATGCTTGGCTTGGCCGAGATCTCTTTGGCCAAGAAAGCGAACATGACGAACTGTGTCAAGCGCATCATGATGACCAGGGACCGGTGCATATCCATGCTGAAGATGGACAAGTTCTTGGCGGATGCTAACTGGGACTTGGTTCAAGAAGGTAAGTGGGTTGAATAACTTGAATTTTCTTTCGCTGCTCTCAATTTAAAAGGTTTTGCCACGTTTGATCTTGTAGAGATGATTCTATTGCGCCATGCTGATAGTAAAATTACAGTGTCTGTAGGTTTTCCTCTTGATGGACAACCTGGTGAAGGTTGCGGAAAGCATCTGGATGTGGATTGTGGGTAGCGCAAGACCGAGCGTTGTGAAAATAGGTAAAAGGCTAGGCCTTTGTCCAGCAGTGGACGTCTTTCGATTGAGACGAACGAACTACTGACCTAATTATGAAGGTTCTGTATTTATGCAAATTGAAGTCAAAAATAGTAGTTAACCACCCGGTGAAGTTAACTGCGTACGGCTGCCAGCCGTGACGTCATTTCAAGGCTGGTACGGACAGGGCGAAAGCAGGGATATGTGCAGGCAAGTAGGAGTGCAGCGAGGTGCACGCAGTTAGCTGGATCGGGATCTGGATCTGAACTTAATAGCACCGTCATAACTAAAGCCAGGTCCAATGACCCCAAGCTACCCATCCTTATCGCTCGCGCGTAATTATGTTGCTGTCGCGCTCGCACACTCATTGCGGGCGCCCGCACACTCATTGCGGGCTCGCGCGTAATTATATTGCCGTGGCGACGGGCGCGCACAGTCGCCACGGCAATATAATAACGCGCGAGCAATAAGGATGGGTAGCTTGGGGTCATTGGACAAAATTCTACGTGCTCACAGACCAGACTACCTATACTTAAACAAGAGATGTATGGTGTTTTTTATTATCCAAAGGCACTACAATAAAGCACCCGTACCAGCTCCAAATATCCGGTCGGGAGGAAGACAGCGAGGATGACACGTATATGGGGTACCACTACTCCACGTGTCCCGACTGCGAGCGAGAGATTCCCAACGAGCCTACGAAGAAGGAATTCGCTGAGATGATGAGGTGAACAATAATATCATCATCATCAATCTTTAGTTGTGTAGACTCCTAAAGCGTGGAGCGAGCCCATTAATGATTCCGTTTACCTCGCAGCACAAAAAGGCATAATTACATTTTGTTTCCATCCACTAGCAAAGAGTCGAGCGAAAATGACAAACAAAGGCCAAACGAGCAAAAATTTGCTCCCTCTTCAAATCAATACTCCCAAACTCTTTCTTGGTGGAAAGGATGAAAGAATTAACTACTTAGACTATAAAACTTATTATGTACCTATTTCAGCGATGACTGAATCTAATTAGGCTGGACTACTTACTTATTGACAGGACTAACTGGAACTATCCAGTAGTTTTTTTTCTTAATGTTTCTCCTACGTTTTTTCTCGTTCTACAGGGAAGCTAACCAACGAGTCCTCAAAGCGATGAAGATATCCTATTGGCGCCAGTACGAGCACGGTAAGATAAGCAAAGATGGCGTCAGGACGCTCGTGCAAGCCGTCGAAGTTGCCACAGACTCTGAAAATGGAAGGGTTAATCTGGACCAGCTGGGGACTTTGTGGAAGCCAAAGGTGATGTAAAATAATACCAATATTGTAGTAGGTAGGAATAGTAGTTCCCAATTTCAGCTAAGAGCCAGTGATTCCTTTTTTCTTCTATGCCAAATATTCACTTGCTTGTATGACACATGACCTCACCTGCTGGAAAGTGATAATCAAGCCGAATGTGGAAGCTTTATCTGGAATCTTCAACCCTATAGGAACTGGTTACCTTACCACGAACTGCTAATACACAAGCTTTTAACATTAGTAGGTGGTAGGTAACTAGTCAAGCGGACTTAGACAGAGCCTATTACCAACTAAGTAAAACAAAAAAAAATTGGCCTTCACTGGGAAATCGAACTCGGGATCTCTTTTGAAGACTGACCATCTTGCCACTAGGTGACTAGACCACAGGGGCAACCAAAGGATAATTTATCTATCACCAGGCACACGCAGTCTGGTTACGTCACAAGCTGGTAAACGTCATGACGCCCGAAGCAGCGAACGCTCAAGTGCCGCGTCACCCGCTGCGTCAGCGCTGCTACCGGATCGTGACCAGCGTGTGGTTTGACATGTTCATCTACCTGATGATCCTGTGTAATACTCCCGTGATACTCTGCGAGGTGGCTATGAAGTCGCCAGCTAAGATTTACACGCACGTCATTAAGGGGTTGAACTTGTAAGTTTTTTAGGAATATCTTGTAGAATTTGGAAGGTTAGCAGCTACGTTCTTTTTAAATGTGGCTATTGGTATGGTCTCTACGCCATCAGGTACCAGACTACCAGTGCTTGCATAGCAGATAGTGTTAGTTTTTAATAATCATAATATCCCTATTGGCCTTGGCGTTTGGTGCATGCCCAAATTAAAAGCATTTGTTTGACTCCTGAAATACTTACCTACTTACACTAGACATAGGGCAAAGCTGGTGGATCTAATGAATTTTTCAGATTCTTCTACATCATCTACGTATTCGAGATGATCTTAAAAATGATTGCATTCGGCGTTTGTGGGTACTTCAAGTCCCACTGGAACAAGCTGGACTTCTTCATCATTGCGATGGCTACTGGTGGTTAGTATTGTGTTCTTTCTTCTTTCTCTATTTGATTGGTCTACCTACACCTCCCATACCTACCCACACTTATGAGACCCATGATGTTTGTACAGCTAGTTTAGGTATTTCAGAATAGGTACAATAAAGTGAGTAAAAGTATGACAGATATAAGTAGGTACTTACCTTATTTAATATTGATTTTGACTGAAAAATTATTTAATTTTATTGCAGACTTGGCATTGGACATAGTAGATACTGTGACTCCTTGGGACAAGTGGAACAACTTCAATTCCAGCGTCCTGACGGCCACGAAACTGTTGAGGATGCTGCGGTTTCTTAGGCTTTGCAAGTTGGCTCGGTAAAGGTTTTTTTATCCTATTGTAGGTATCATCACAATCTTCGGACTATACAAAACCTCTCAATTTGTAGCGATGAGTTCCCTTCAACGCGTTCTGTCATTAGTTGCGGCGGTCTATGCACGCGCAGTGATCGCCATCGCCGATGCAAGCTGCACGCGTTGGTTTTGTCGAAGCTTTAACGTTTTGGTGATTTCAGGGTTTCAGTCCCAAAAATCATGGCATACATAGATCGGATGATAGATATCCAGCTAGCCTATGGCTATGATGTCGGAAAGGTAATACCTAATCCCCTTATAAACATCCTTAGAGTCCAATCATTTGGTAGTTTTAGCTGTGGATTTACCTGTCAATGTTTTCCGAGAGTTTAGAAAATTGGTGATGTGCTCCTCAATTTTAACTTTGCGCCCTCTTATGTTGCCGCGTGCGCCGCCATATTGGAAAAATGGCGCCCGACTACACCAGAAGGAGGGACATGTTTTTTAATATCCCCGTTTTGGATCAAATGACTGGACTAAGCTTTGTTGGATAGCCGTTTTGCCTGGTGGTGTTGTTTCTGACACTTGATGAGTTCCTAGCTGTACTTTGTCTATCTACGAGTATATTCGCTATAACTATTGTTGTTATCAGGGTTTCGTCACAGGAGAGCAGGAAGTATGCAACTTGCTGCCCCAGCTGGTAGATAACAAGCAGATACAGGAAACCTTGAATGCAAGGTTGGAAGCAGATCGGTAAATACCTATCTCTTCTAATGATTCGATTGTTTTATTCCACTTCATTTATTGGTACTATTATCATAAATCCAGGATTTAGATCAGGACGTCATCGTTTTTAAGTTCCCATATTCCGAAACTGGTTAAAAATATTCTGTCTTATTCAACGTCGAAGAAAACAGACGTCAGACTTGTTTCCTACTCGTATTCTTTACATTATTTATAACACACGAGCTGACCCGGCGAACTTCGTACTTAAAAGATTTAGAATTCTAATGGTGAAAAAAAAATTCAAATCGGTCTTGTAGTTTCGGAGCCTATTTAATACAAACAAATCTTTCCTCTGTATAAAATTAGTGAGATTCAATTACGTATTAATGACTAATGTTAGTTATTTGGATTTAGTTATTCCTAGTGCTTAGGTATAATGGGTACAGTTTAGCAGTGACGCGTCAGCTGGGACTCCTCCAAAGAGACCGGCCGTGGACCGCCATCACCGTAAAGACCCGCCAAGCTACCACCTCCACCCTGAACATTATGATGCTGGACGCTATGCAGCTGAAGGAAGAAGGTTACTATCTATTATTAAGTCTCTCACTTATTATGAGTATAAGAGTTCAAGTATAAATGAATATTTACAAAAATAAGAAACAACACGTTGGGCGCCACATTTTCAGCGTTAATTTTTTTTCATCATTTTCATTATTAATGAGATGACCGTACAAAATTGTTATTCAACAGGTTTCCTAGATGAAATGGAATATCGTTTATTAGTAAATGCGATACAGGAAAAAGTTCAAATGTGCCGACATAAAGGCAGTCTAGTTGCACCGTCTTCACCTGAAGTTAGTAATGTTTTAAAACGACTTTTATGTAGATTTCAATTAAAATATATTCAAATCTTATTCAATTGATCCCTGGTTAGGCCCGGTTTCCACCAAAGAGGATAGGAGATGAGAAGTGTTTGTAATTTAATAAACCAATCAGATTTCGTTATTTCCACATCACGTCACCGCTCAGCATCGGTTCAGAAATCTGATTGGTTATTCAATTCAAATATCTTCTCCTTTTCCGCTTTAGTGGAAAGGGCCTTATAGGTTTAGCCGCTAGTCGCATCTAGAAAGACTATATTTTGCGTCTTTTCTGATTTTCAAATAGACTCAACTTCGGGCCGTCTCATGGCTACAAGGAAACGAGAGAGCAGCGGATTTCTTTCTGGAAAACTCGGAAATTATGAATTATAATTACAACGACATCCTCATCTCACGAGGTATAGATTCTAATTTTTGTCGTCATTAACAAATTATACCTACCTACCTATATTTCTCTGCGTGATTCAAAGGTCTCTTGCTTTAGCATTAAGTAGGTACACGTTTTGTTTTTTGTACAATAAAGTAATTTAAGTAATGGGTTTAGTCGACTCTAGTCCACCTTATTATTCGTAATCGAATAATCGAGTTAATCATATATACACACAGCCAGAACGTGTCTAAAGTCCGGTCGCCATATACCTAATTACGCGCGAGCGATAAGGATGGGTAGCTAGGGGTCATTGGACGAAATTCTGTCTGCTCGGCGACCGGACTTTAGATCCTACATATAAGTTTCTGTGTTTAGGCGACGAGCCCAAAGGCCTTTACATACTGGTCTCTGGCCTGCTGGAAGCCACGTATGAGCCACCAGAAGGTGACATGGACGAGGCCATACCCAACTACGAGTTCCTGACCGACCTGAAGTTCGGAGACCCCAGTCAAGACTACATAGTGTCGGGAAACGCCATCGGAGTACTGGGGGTTAGTGCTTTTGGTCAATGTAGATAAGTTGTTTTGATTATGCTTTAGGTAAAAAAGCAATGAAACTTGCTGCCGATTAAAGGATTTGTCACACCGGATACTGTCATGTCAACGTGAACGCAGCCCGTATCATGTATGATTACTTTGACGTGACCGCAGACCACATCTAGGGTGACAAGTCCATACAAATCTTTGCTTATGTATGTTAACCTTTAACTACTGACGTGGGGGCCTCTCAGGCCCTGAAAAAGTCAAATTGTAGAATTTCTCCCCTCCCACGTGCACAACACACGCGAATCTTTTAGTACCTTCGAGTTTCATTGCGCCGAGGCTGTCAACAACTGTGCACCTGATTGCACGCGCAATATCAGTAGGTAAATTAATTTTAAAGTTTCTTGTGGGCCTCTCAGGCCCCCACCTCAGTATTGGCGTAACTTTTTTTGTCTATAGTTTTCATTTAGTTGTCGTCTATTCTTAAAATAATTTGAAAAAATCTATAAATATGGAGCCCACAGTACGTCGTCCGAGAGAAAGCGGTATCTCGGAAGTAAAAATAACCAGTATTTAACTAAAAATAAGAGAACAGTCGTTTTTGGCACGTATGTTAGGAAATGATATGCCTGTACCTGTCTATCAAGATTTAAACAATGAAACCAAGTCCCATACATGTCTTTTGAAGATTCAAATGAAATGTACATTTTAAAAACATGTATGGCTTCCTTCACTGAGCAAAGCAAGTTTATCCAGACTGTGTTTAATTCGCACTATTCGATGTGTGTCATTTTTTTCCCCCTTTTTCATATTAGGATTACTGATATATCATTAGCTAAAAAGACTATTGAAAATTAAGATTCTAAGTTGATTTATTGAATTTTTGAATATTTTTCATGATAACTTTGTGAATCATAATTTCATGAGATTTTTGCCAAAAAATGCTACATGTTTTCTAAAAATATAAATAATACTTACTTATTTACAAATAATTAACATAAAAATCGTTTTAATGTATTTAAATATAACCACTATTAATAATTATTAAACATAAAATCCTAAAAAGGTTGTATATTTTTAAATATAAGCACACATATGTACGGGCCTCTCAGGCCCCCACGTCAGTGTTTACGTGAAATTAAATCCACCTCAGTAGCTAAAGGTTAATGGCCTCAACTCTCGTTGCGCGACATATACCTGTGTAGATTTGAAACATGATTTTAAAGTAGGTATTCTGCCAAAATGCTCTCAAGCTGTTTTTACAGCCTAGATGACAGAATATCAAACTAAAGGCTAATAATGTTACTACCGTCTTCTTCTGTATTTTAAAGCGGTGCATTGGCAGGGCTTGTTTTAAGACCGCTTGGCTGGCTCTACCACCATCTTACCTAAGTCTTTCGCCGTAACCAAAATGTCAACAGCATTGTTGTGTTTCGGTAGTCAGAGGTAAGATAGCCAGTTCCTCCGTGGTTGAGGATTCCGGGTGAAGCTCACTTCCACCTTCGACCTGATCATCACTTTCCTGGTAAGATGCAGGCCATGAGCTTCTTCGTTGTGGACAAAAAGCCTCAAAGTAAAGTCTCCTTTTGCTGACATGATTTCCTTCAACAAGGTGCTGACGAGTCGCCCCTACAACTACACAGTGCGTTGCGACTCCGCCGTGCAAGCCTACTACATCACCATGCCGATCATCAAGGAGGCCTTCAACCTAGCTCCACATCCTATCATGGGGTATGGAAATCAACTGTATACTTACTTACTTATCCTTTATTTTCCATGTATTGGGACAACTAATGCTCTACTTTTTCTTCTGATTATTTTCGTTGCGGGTCCAAAGACAGTTTAACTTTCCCCCGGGACAAACTTGACCTACATTGGTTGGGTTTTTATGGCGGTCAAGCTGTAGATTCTGGCTACACAGGAGTTGCAGTGGTGGGAATAGTCCCGTAATGCTTAATAATTTAAGTGGTGGTCCTAGAAACAACTAACGTTTAGCAAAAGGTTGATATGAGTTTTTAGTAGGTATGCTGTAGAATACTGTAGACGCTTTTGGTAGTGATCCTACTAATATTATACGAGTAGGTAGGTACATGCGAAAGTTTGTGTGGATGTCAGGATGTTTGTTACTCTTTCACGCAAAAGCTACTGAACGGATTTTGATGGAACTTTACAGTATTATTGTTTATAACCCAAAATAACACATAGGCTATAATTTATGACGATCTGTGACAAACTAACTTTCACGCGGGTGAAGCCGCGGGCAAAGGCTAGTATAAAATATAGGGCTGTACCTACTTATAAAATAATTAGTAGAAAGTATGAAGTTCATCATTAATCGCTCACCAACCGAACATTGTTTGTGTCCCATCACTGATGTTTGTCGCTTCTCCATCCGAGGTAGATAATATTTGATTACGGGGGTAGATACCTTCAACATTGTTTTTTATTGAGATAATCTCACGCTTATTTTATCTAGTCTGGAAGCAGCGATGTGGCGAGAGATCGGCATAAAGCTGGCGATGATGGTGCTACCCACCGTGCCGGCTTACCACGGCTGGTCGGTGGAGAAGTTGAGCATGCGACTGGAGCATGCCTTTGTGCCGTGTCTTAAAGCATTCAAGGTATGCAGCCTTTTGCATTTAAGATAATAATGATAGTAGGTAGTTCACATGGTGACATTATCTGCAAGTAATAATTCATCTACTTGAAGTCAACTGTTACCTCTTCACTCCATAGAACGCTACACCGAACGGTTTCGAATCATACCACTTCCAAAAGTTTCCCAGGATCCTACCTAACTACGAACCTACTTTATCTCTCATTTGATTCCAAATGTTCCAGGTGTTTGTAGTGAATGAGCTGATGGAGGACATAATCCTGATTGACGGGGTCTGTCAAGATATGGCCACTCGGGAAGTGTTCCAGCCTCCTTGTTACATACCCAGGTAGGTAATAGCGTATTATTCATTACTATGTTATGAAACACGCCTAAGCCACACACCTGCAAAATGTTACTTGTATCTGCATGATTAGACCAGGCAAGAGTCTTGCCAGAGAGAGAGAGAGAGAGAGAGAGAGAGAGAGAGAGAGAGAGAGAGAGAGAGAGAATTCCCAGACGCCCTGCAATAAATATAAAGTGGGAAGCACCGGGATGCGGGCAGCGCAGGCTCGATTGCTGTGGAAATCCTTGGTAGATCTTTGTCATCCTTTGACTGAAACGAAAAAAATACCCAATAAGTATCTAACCAATCTGGAAATCATTGGGGGAGGTCTGTGATTAGTAGTGAACATCCTGCGGTTGAAATGATGACGATGATTCACAGGACAGCCCACCGCCTGATCTTCCCAAAGTCCTCGCAGCTGATGGTGTCCAACTCCTGCCCCGAGACCATGCTGCTCATCGTCCCGGCCAAGGATGCGGATGAGCTGGACATCATGGAAGACGAGCTGGATGACTTGCAGTGCGAACTGGTTGGTTCTTTTTAATAAGATTGGTTGATGGCTTAATTCGTGCTAAGATATTTCTATGTAAACATAACAGTTATAATCTATCCAACATAGCTTGATTAGAATGACAGCTGCCATCAAAAGTAACGACATAACTTTGTAGTAGCGATCAATGAGAGCTAAATATTGGCGGACAAGAAATAATTCACGTCTGACCTACAAACAATATTTTCGACGACAGTGCTTCTAATAAAAAATGTTAATTTCGTGTATATGCAGCGTTAAATTACACCAATAAGTAGTAATTCGAAATTATAAAAATCAAGCTAGAGTATTAACGACGTCTCTACAAGGTTATCTCGAGTTACAAAAATGTTAGTGTTGGGACATATCGACAAATGTCATATTAAATTAATACTATTTTTTTAACATACATATTTAACATTTTTTTTCTAACTAATTTTTTAACATATTTAAGTCAAGTTATACGTTTTTCTAAATGTTCACTATTAAAAACCAAAAAACATTTCATTCTTAAATAATCAAACATCGGAAATCAATCACCGGTAATTTTTTGGGTATTCATAGCACCGTTGCTCTAGAAGAGATGCCCACCGCCCTCTAGCGAGAGGAAAAAACCACTGAAGAACACTGATGATAATGACTACGACTTAGGTTGTACACCCTTGACATGAATTTTAAATTTTACTGTCTTTAAATTTAAATCATAATTGTCATTTTTGTGAATAAAGATATGAAGAAAAATTGGGTGCATTTTTTATATCATTTTTTCGAAAACTTATCGATACATCTATGTGAACCGTACGAAACATACCCAACACTAGTCACATTCGTTTGACAGCCGTCATTCTAATCAAGCTATATTGGATAGACTATAATAGTTGCTCAATCACGCTGAATACGCGCTCGAATGAAGCATCAATAGAGACAGGAATGGAAAGAACAAACGTGACCATTTTTTTTAATTCAGGACAGGGATTTCTGTCTTTCGATTTCGTAAAGAAGTCAACCCAGCGTATATCCACTCGATTTTTTTCAATAAGATGTGGTTGCACCTCACGCAAAAGTCCAACCTCATCGTACACGTACACATTTGTCACTAGTTTAGTAATGCTGGTCCATGTGATTGGTTCTTTTAAAGATAAAATTTATAAACAAGTACGAGCAGCAATGGATGCATTTAATTTTTAGAAATACCGGAGAAAATATTGCTCTCCGGGAGGTCGGGAGGTTAACCATTATTTCCGGAGTCTCCCGGGCAATCCGGGAGGGTTGGGAACCCTACTCATGTGACATACCTAATGTGAAACTTAACTGGTGCATACCTGTCGCAGGAGGACACAGTATATACCTTAGCGTTCTTCTGTTCTGAAGATATGACCTATCTTCGTCGATCACTGAGCTATTCTTCGTTACTAGCTACATGCTCATGCAAAAGATGTGGCATACTGTTCTCTTGACATTTTGGAAGCATATGAGCGAAGTATTTGTTTTTTAGTTGTTAGGGTTCCGTAGCCAAAATGGCAAAAACGGAACCCTTATAGTTTCGTCATGTCCGTCTGTCCGTCTGTCCGTCTGTCCGTCTGTCCGTCTGTCCGTCTGTCACAGCCGATTTACTCGGAAACTATAAGTACTACAGTGATGAAATTTGATGGGAATATGTGTTGTATGAACCGCTACAAAATTATGACACTAAATAGTAAAAAAAAGAATTGGGGGTGGGGCCCCCCATACATGTAACTGAGGGATGAAAATTTTTTTTCGATGTACATACCCGTGTGGGGTATCAATGGAAAGGTCTTTTAAAATGATATAAAGTTTTCTAAAAAACATTTTTCTTAAAGTGAACGGTTTTTGAGATATCAGCTCTCAAAGTCGTAAAAAGTATGTCCCCCCCCCTCTATTTTTATAACTACGGGGTATAAAATTCTAAAAAAAATAGAGGTGATGCATGCTAATTAACTCTTTCAACGATTTTTGGTTTGATCAAAGTATCTCTTATAGTTTTTGAGATAGGTTGATTAAATTGACATAATAAGTTTATTATATTTGCTGCTACGGAACCCTTTGTGCGCGAGCCCGACTCGCACTTGGCCGGTTTTTTGGAGTAGTACCCTTTCATCACTAGAATCTAGGTTCCGAGTGTATTAAAGTTCAATTTGCATCACAAACATTCAGGTTTACAATGTGTCCTCCCGCTGCATGTACCACAAAGTGGTCCGCAAGCTCTCGAGCGAATCCTTTTACTGTTCCTCGTTTAGGGTCAACTGTCATCACTGGAATCTAAGTTGTTTAGGCTCCTCTTTCATAATTGGAATCTAAGCTTTGAGCATTAAGGTTCAATTTGTATCACCAACCCAGGTTTCCAACGTGTCCTCCCGCTGCCTGTACCACAAAGTGGTCCGCAAGCTGTCAAGCGACTCTCGTGGCGCGGTGGCGCGGCGCGGGCGCAAGCGGCGACGCGGGAATGCAAGGAGAGTGAACTATAGAGAGTCTATGTGGGGGAAGCAGACGTGTGAGTTGTTTATTGATTTAAGATTGGATTGATAACCAGTTGATATCACGGTCCAATCAATCGACCAAAATGGAAATCATTGGGAGAGGTTTATGTTCAGCAGTTGGACGTCCTATGGCTGAAATGATGATATCACGGTTTTGACACAGAATATGTAGTAGTGTGTTTTCCTATACATGCATTTTGCGAAGTACACACACTGCATCAGGTCCGATACCATAAAATAGTATTTCGAGACGTCTCGCCAATTACAAAATTGTAGTTTGAACAACTTGGCGAATCCTTGGTTGGGTGGTAGTTTTATTGCAGCAATGCCAAGGATTTTTAGTGTAAGTTCTATCTATGCTGTAACTTAACTTATTCTCAACAGCGAGCGCGCCCGGCATCGGGACTGATCAAAGCGAGAAAGAACTCAGTTCTAAATATTACAAGCCCAGCCTCGTAGACATGGTAATAAAGAGATTTTAAGTTTTCGATATGTTCAGTTTGCTTCCTAAAAGTAGGTATACCTACAGTTTTCACGCATGAAACTTTTGATTTCAGCAACCCGAAAAGTTGGAGTCGACTCGTCAGAAAAGTAAGACTTTTACATAATATGATTTTTATTTCAGATTTCTTAGGACCTTATTATTCTCTATTCACATCTCAACATCAAGCAAGCTATAGTGTGCCGCAGTTCCAGCTACTACCCGTCATGTCACCTCGTTCTATCGCAAAGAAAAAACAAAAATGGGTAGAGGGAACTGTGGCCCACCACTGTACTTTTCAATGTAGGAGATTGATAAATAAATACCTAGTGGGAGAAGGAATTTAAATGGCAGATAAATATTAATATGGTATCTCTTTCAGGTGAGGTGAGGATCACCGAGTCCGGTACACCAGAAGAAGAGGTAAATTCCTTACAGAATGAAAACTCTTTTGGTTAAGCTAAGGTCTATTACATATTATAGACATGGTACATTTTCAGCTCTACAACACATTGCTTACGAAGCTCAAGCGATCTTCGCTTGAAAAGCGATAAATCGTTACGAAATCAAGGTAAATCAATTATTATTAATCAAATCAAGGATGCTAATGTACAAATATTTTTCATACAAATGTATAGCATGAAAATGATGTGTTTTTTTTAATAACTTGTGGTTTAATAATGATTGTATCTTTTGAAACGGTTTACCTTATCGTTTTGATAACATTATATGTATTTTTCCTTTACGCTTTGATAATGATTTATAAAAAACTATTTTGATGATTTTATTTATATATTTTATTTCGCTATTTATTAAACTTTTGAATATTTTACTGAAGTTTTCTTAATTATCTATGGGTAACCAACTATGTTACTTTAAATAAAACAAAAAGTTTGGTGTTTTCATTTATTAAAATTAAAGAAAATATAAAATTAGTACTAAAATGTTAGGTCACACAAATTACCACCAAAATGATATGACCATTATATTTTTTTGATAAAATTATATCTTTATAAACTGTTTTGAAAAGAAATCAGGAATGTTAACAAAATGCATCCGATTAACAAAGGATAATAATGGACCGAGGGTCTTAGCACCAAATAAATATTTAACCATTAAACAATAATAATCTGGAAAACAAATGTCTAAATAACAATATTTTTTAAATCCACTCTTATAATATTTTTTTCTATCTACAAACCAATATACATTTATTTTAGATGAAACTTTGAAAGTGGATTTATAACAAATAAAAACATCAGTTAAATAATTTATTGCTGCACCCCAATGTTATTATTTATAACATTTAAAATATTCATGGTTTTTTAAAAAGTAATAGGAAAAAATTGCTTTGAAAATGCAAACAAGGATGTACACTTTCCCAGTGTTAAAAAAGTTTTTTACTTGTGCAAAATAAAATCGCCTTTTTCAAGTCGAAGCAGCAATATAAAAGCACACACAATAGATTCTTATATTAACTTACTTAGATATTTTTTATCTTAACATTTTAATAATTTTTAACTTTTTTTTATTGACACAAATTAAAAAGCAGACTATTTTCAATAAAAAATTTAGACAACAACAGTTTTCACATTGAGCTGTTATTAACTACTTTTAACATTATAATTATAACAGTTACATATTTAAGTTATTTCTATTACTACTATAATCTTTAAAGTAACTACCTACAATAGAAAAAGTTGTTGCTTATTTAATTGCTTTAGATTTTATTGCTTTCAGTAAGAATTTTTACTGTACAGCACAGAAAAGAAATCTCAGTTTATTTTCATTTAATTGTCAATGCTGGATAATTATATTCAGGTTAACCCCTCAAGGCCTATGGCTGCCTGATGCATGATCTCACACTACCGTAATAAGGCAGGCTGTAGCCACTTTTATAATTGCACGAAGAAATAATGTGGGTTCGAATTAACTTTAGGCAGCGTAAGCACTTGTGGGCCGTATCGCCATCATCTGATTAGGTTGTTATAGCAAGATATTAAGTTTGATTTATGTTCAAATTCACTTATAAATAAATAAATTCTGAACTTATTTATAATACAATTTGCTCTTAATATACCAATCTAATCACTAGGGTAGGGTTCGTAGTTTACATAAGGTATTTTTATCGAATGACTCACTGTTTGTCGGTTCTCTACAGTTTATGTAGATAAGCCAAACAATCAGGTGTCAACAACTAGTAATATTTGCATAAATATTGAATCAAAACAAATTAAAAGATTAAAGTTAGTATTTATTTGTTTGCATGAAAACATACAAACAATTTTAAATAAGTAGTACTATAAATAAATTCATTTTTATCACTATCAACCATATCAGTCTTTTAACTGGTCATGGTAACTGGTGAAGTTACGCAAAACAATAGGATTGAAAGATATATTTGAACAGGTGCACTGGATTTGACATTATTTAGGTTGATTCAAAGTCGATGAACTTGTAGATAGTAGAGTAGATATGATTTGTACGGATAAGCAGTGTTTTAGATAAAAGAAAATAAAAATATTTAGCACATAAAAGTGCTATCGATTTAGAAATAAGGCTTGAAAACAACTCTTATTGTACTTTACCGTCAAATACCTTATGTAAACGTTAAGAGATGATATGCAGTCGTTACTCCAATCTACTTCCGGGGTTGTTGGATGTTGGGCTGTGGCCGGAAGTTGATGTGCGCTGGAGGCTTTGGACTGTGAGCTACCTGAGCGGCTTCTGGAGTAAAGTCCGCGTTACCTTTGTTCGGAGCCCCAGCGATAGAGACTGGGTTGGACGGCACTGGGGAAGGTCCAGCGAGGCCGGTGAAGTCTTCGTTGGTAGTCTCCTTAGTGTCTTTAGGGTGTGGGACTTTGTGCTGGGTGATTCTCATGCCACCGGCTTTAACTGCAAAATTCAAAAAGGTTTTTGTATGTCTTTTTGCTATTGATTTAACACAAATGATAAAATTCGACAGTTTTCATAATCTCAGAAGTATTAAATTACGTAGAGTAGTCAAATTACATACAGGTATGTAATTGTGAAGGTAAGCTGTATACCTACTTAACAATGTTACCTACAATACATTTTTTGACCTTGAAAAATAGGTTGCTTTGTTTATAACGCCTTCTTGTGATTATGTTCACGACAAAAAGCGTAGCGAATACTTCAATGACGTCAGCGATATGTTTTCAAGGCCCCAAATGCATGTTTTACTAATGTTAAAAACAAAAACAACAAATAGCCAACCAAACTGGTTCTCATAGATTAGCATTAGTGTTAATAGGAATTCTTTAGTCCACCATATGGTGTCTTATTATTAAAGTTAGGGAAACTAAATAAGTAATTGTTAATTTATGCAAAAATAAAACAATGTAAACAAAGAACTTTTGGTTCACAAAACAATTACCTGCAGGCGGGTGCCCCGCCTTAAGTTGAGCAGTATCTTCATTAGACGACATTATTACTTATAACCAAATAAGAAAATGTAGGAATCAGGTAAAATCTGATAAGATTGCAGTGTAATAAAAACACATAAAACGACGACGTGTAAGTTCGGAAGATGACACGGCCACAGTAAATGTCAAATTGGAATTGGCAGGTATTTTTCAAGGTGCGCGTAATGTGAATGAATCACAGGTATTATACTAGTGACTTGTTGTAAATATCAAGTGATATTTAATTTTGTAGCTGAATACTTTGTATGCCTTTGACAATGTATAATCAATAAAAATATAAGTTTCGAGCGGGAAGGATTAAGCGGAAGTCAGTTTAATTACTTTTAATTTTTTAATATTCTACATTGCATGATATACGTGACAAGGAATTTTCCTTGATTGAATATCAACTTAATTACTTAAATTGAGATAGGAGCACCAATCTTTTTCGAATCGATATTCTTTACTGGTCCCGTGAGCGTTTGAGTGTGGCCCATCTTTCACACTGGGCACTTTGGGTACGTGCCCAGGGCCTCGAGACGAGACCGAGGGCCCCCGTCAAAAGACCTTTCTCCAGATTATAATGGCGCCCCTTTATCCTTGACTGCTCAGGGCCCCTTTATGTATAGTAGGTTTAAGACGGCCCCTGAGGGCACTACTCCTTTTCTCGATGCACAGTATTTATTCTTCACAGACGGCTATACTTAAAGTTGGTACCTATGGCAGTTTGCCAAGGTGTTAAGAGTAGTTAGTATCAAATTGAGTGGTCGCTCTTGAATAAACGAGTAATATGAATGTTAAAAGTTTTTACTAGTAAAAGTCATATTTATTTCCAAGCCTTTATTTTCAATCTCCTACAAGGGACGACAACATCAGCATCGTCCCTTCCCGACTTGAGCATGTCCTTCTGGATTTCCACTATCATTCGCAGCATGAAGTTGACAGCTTGGGTGCAGGTGCCCTCCCGAAGGCGGGAAAAGTCCCTGCGCGTTGGAAGACATCGGCCAGCCAGCATCACGGTTTGGTGGGTGAGAGAGGCTAGCAGGCGTTTTATAATGTCGATTTTTTTGGCAGCGGCGAGAGGTCGCAGACGCGTGACGAAGCGAAGCAGATACTCTATTAGCATCATGTCCTCCTGTAACAGGAAAATATTTATAAATGCACAATCATTATATAGGTACCTAGGTACTTAATTATAAGCTGTGCTGAGATCAAAAAAGGTTAGGTATTTCCTTGAAAGTTGGAATATACCAACTATAAATACAGCTTTCGACCTTATTGCATTTATAATATTAGAAAACAACTAACTATGAAGATGAAATAAAAATTCGCGAGTTAGATAGATACAATATTTTTGCATGTTAGCGAATATTCTAAAACGCTCTTTCTACTACTTAAGTAAAAAACTACACGTTACCATCTGTAATGCTAATATGCATGACTCCACATTATGCGCGCGACCGACTATGATGGACAGGTCCTCGCGATCCAGGATTGGCTGCTTGAGGCCTTCCAGCCACTCGCATAGCAGTCCTGATAAAATTGCTGGATCCTCCTATAAAACAAAAAAGGACCTTTTTTATAGGTACTGATGATGATCCAGCATAGCGCTAGTCCACGGCTATTGAATGACCTAGATTTTCTTGAGCTTGAAGCAAGCTTCTCATTTGTTACTTTTCTTCATTGTTAGTCTATTATACTGTAGGGTGTTCATATTTTATTTTCAGAGGAACTGGGGACTGAACCTCGTAACTACTCGATTACATTCGATATTCGATAAAGTAATTTTCCTATTGACCTACTTTTAAGTTTTTATTAGGTGTCTTACCTCTTCGTCTATTCTGGTTATCGCCTCTTTTCTTTGGTTTATGTCGTTTCTAAGCTGTTTCAGATACTTCTGCTTATCTTCTGGAAGACTATGGTGATCCACTACGAACGCCTGTAATGAAAAAAACCCTTTACTTACAAGAAGAATTTTGTTTTATTGAATACATCCTAAAATGCAAGGCTTCTTTGCATCATCAGAAACTAGAGATGGCAAACCGCCATTGCATTCTTTTTCGTAATTTTCGTGCCTAAAAGGGCACCGGCCGGGACCGGTTTGCAATCTCTGTCAACGTCTTGTCTCAAAGTTGGCAATGGTAATATAATATTTGTGTCGTGTTTTTTACCGCTTTTAGAAGACGAAAAAGTTAGGTAGTTCCTAATATTCAAAGTAATGTAACCTCGTGTATATGAAGTGCTGGCACGTGCCCATTTGTGGAGGTGCCCGTGATCCTGGTGACGCACTCCAGGTTTCTGTAGATGTCCTCCTCCACGGGATCGCGCCAGTCCACCATGGGTAGTGCTGTCACGTGGTCTGGAACATAATAAAAAACATAATCCTCCTTCTGGCGCAGTCGGGTAAGTATTAACGTCAAACAACATATCATATGGGTAAGTAAAGGAATGAAAAGACAGTAAGTGTCGCTTATTGCATTCCGAGAGTCAACTTTTATTTTGGCTTTCTTGTGGTGGTGGTTCAACTACTTTCTCCGAGAAATTTAATTGTGGTAAGGTGCACAATGAACTTTGGACTAAGGAATGCTAAGAAGAAGATATTCTAAGTATAAAATTATAATAAAGGATGTAGCCGAGATTTTATTGGTGATATTTTTTTCTTTTTTGGTTAAAATACCAAGTAATAAAGAACTCTACCTGATGAAGCCACCTCTTCAGGCGTGGTGGGGTCAGGCGGCTTGCTCTGTTTCAAACGGTACACAAGGAAAGACTTGTAAAAGGGTCTGTTCTTCACGCGAAAGTCCAGCCCGACGCTGTGGTGACAGCCACACAGCTTGAGTAGACGCTCGCAGAGGGTGTAGACAATCTAGAATTATTTAGGTATGTTAGAGTGACGTCATATTCTTGAGTAACTTTACCATGGACATAGATGGGCACCGTTAATCAAATAGTTAACTTCGTTAATCGTTAAACCGTTAATAAAAAAGTTAACTTCGTTAAACGTTAAAACGTTACATTTAGCAAGATTTAACGCAAGTTAACGTTAATCGTTAATCCGTTAACACATGATAATAAAACGAAAAAAGTAATTGTATGCAAGGTTCAAATAATTTCGAAAGCTTGTATCGCTCACGGAATTTATTCCTCTTTTATGTTTGCGCTACAAGCTTTCGAAATTATTTGAATCTTGCATACAATTATTTTTTTCGTTTTAGTAACAACTACATTTCAGGATAAAAGCTTGTTTTTAAAAAAGTATTTTATTATTATAATTTTATTTTACACTTTTTAGTAGTAGCTGGGCCGAGCTAGTGAACGCCAGACCTACGTCATTTTATACAAGCTGAAAGTTTGTCAGCGTATGTTCCCAATATAGGATAGAATGTTGGTGAATCATGAAGTTTGGGTCATCGTGGCTTTAGCAGCTATCCTAAAAAAACTGTCTGGCAAGGAGTTGGAACTGTCAAAACTGTCTGACTGATGAGGAAACTACTTCTAATTATTGCCCTAATATTTTATATAAAAATCAGCTTTTATGGTATAACGTAAGCCTAACTTTTACGGTGGCTTTTTCTGTAAGTATATTCAATTGTAATTCTACTTACGTTACTACCATAAAATCTGATTTTTATGTATAATATTTGGGCAATGATTAGAAGTTGTTTCGACATCAGCCACACAGTTTTGACAGTTCCAACTCCTTGCCAGACAGTTTTTTTAGGATAGCTGCCAAAGCAACGATGACCCAAACTTATAATCCACCAACATTCTAACCTATATTGGGAGCATACGCTGACAAACTTTCAGCTTTTATAAAATGATGCATGAACGCCAGACCTACGGCGTTCACCAGCTCTTAGTCTATAGTATCTCAATCTCAGAGCCTTGGTTTAATTACAATACAATTTAGCACCAAAGTGCTCGAAAAGACAAATCCAACAAATCCAAAGTCGATAAGTTTCCACCGTTTCGTTTAGGAATTCCTATGGCCACCTCCTGACTCCATAATCAGGACCCTGGACATAGGGTTGCCAGGTCCAAAGACACAAAAGCCGGACTTTGTGCTTCATTTGGTCGGACATTTCACCCTAAATGCCGGACATGTGAGGGGGGGAGGGGGGTGCAAAGCTCACGAGTGAGTACAATCATCATCGGTTGCCCAACCATCCTGATGCGTGCGCCCCATATTATTCTGGGGCTCGACTTTCGCCTGGCGCGGCAGCCAAATAAAAAGCCGGACAGGCCGGATAAGGCAATATTTGGCCGGACAAGACCGTAAAAAGCCAAACATGGCTAAAGCCGGACACCTGGCAACCCTACCTGGACATCATCTAGTATTACAGTGCTCGAAAAGACAAATCCAACGAACCCAAATTCGCCGTTTCATTTAGGAGTTCCTATGGCCACCTCCTGACTCCATCATCAGACCAGCTTAATGGTACCATAACATTGCATTTTCATCGTACTGGTTTCTACAACTGGTCTTAAATTCAGTTGCAAGATTTGTCCCACACATTACTAACAAGTGAAGTCAATATAAAGCTTGTAAATAAATTAAAAAAAAAACAGCATTTTTATATCGTTTCGTTCTGGTTACAAAAACTGTTGTTTTGGGTTCTGCTGGAAGTTCTGGAAGTCCGAACGTACTTGTCAGAACGCGTTGTTCAGCGTGCCTGCTGTATCTTTTTGGTAAATAGTAGGTACTGGATTAACGATTAACGGACTTAGGATAATTTAACGGAAGTTAACGAGTCCGTTAACATTTTTTAAAGTTAACTTAAAAGTTAATCCGTTAATAGAAATGTTAACTTCGTTAATTAACGATTAACGGATTAACGAGTTAATGCCCAGCTATGACCATGGATCTGCTCCACTCCACGATACAAAATAAAATACCCTGGCGTCACATCGTGCTCTAATAAGTAAGAGTTACCTACTTACCTTAGGGAGTTCTTTGAAAGCTCTCTCGTCAAGTCCATGTAGAGTGGCGCGCTGTCTGTACAAATATTGTCTAATTGTAAATTCAGCCGTCTTGCGATCTTTGGTCAACATAAGCGGTTCTCTGGAAACACAAAATAATATTACAATATCATTTTTGCAAAGATAATGTTAGAAAGCGAAGCGAAGCTCAGCAGGTTTTGTGACCCTACAAAAGCAATGGTAACACCAACAATGTAATTTCTTGAGACATTTGAATTTACAAGATTAGCGTGTACTTTATTAGTCATACAATAAGCCGTTAGAGGTATGCCATTGTATGGCTTAGATTGAAGCACACTGAGAGTACCTACACGTGCCAAAGAAATGTCGCTTCCTTCGTGACTTATAGAGGCCTATTGACCTATTCTTAACCACCTCTGTCTGGTGATCTAGAGCTTATCAAGACTAACTTGGAGCTGAACACAACAGTCTGCGGTAGGAGATAGTGCTCGAACTGCTGCACGCAGAGGATCTGGCCAGACGTCTGCACCGACCGCGGCCGCTTCTTGCGCACCAGCCGGATGGCGTCGTTGGCTCGCACCCGAAGGGAGTAGACCAGGTAGCACGCTATTAGCACGCCGGTTCTACCCAGACCTGGAAACATGGGATCTTGGGATAGTGAAAGTACACCGTGAGGTTCTTGGAATAGTTTGAATGTTGGGAGTAGGTAAGTATCAAGGCAATCATTAATCAGTTCTCACTTTTGTCACAATCCTACATTTCAGGATTGAAACAACTTGGCAATAGGTAGTTTTTTAAACTTTTGTTGGTGAGGTTTTTAGGCTCATGTTTAAGCCGTAGATCTCTTTCTGCCTTTAAAAGCGTTACAGAAACTTTGTCAGATTCAATTAGTGGTTTACAAAGATTCACATTTTAGTTACCTACTTTGAAAAGTTTATTTCCACAATCAACGTGTTATTCTGTTTAGTAGTAAACTGACCTGCGTGACAGTGTATCGCGACCCGGCCCTCCTGCAGGGCGAAGGAGAGCACCTTGGCCATGTCCAGCAGGCCGCTCAGAGTCGCCTCTCCGTAGTCGGGCCACGCGAAGTTGTAATAGTATACTGAAAGAAAAGTTTAAATAATGGCAGTAATGGGTTCCCCCTTAACCTGCTTCGCTTGTCTAGATCTCTCTTTGTTCATCAGAACGACGTCTCTTGAGAGAGCTCGCTCATCTTTATGAGGACCTAGGTGACAGCATAATATAATTATGGTCAAATGTAATAATCGTGTTTATCCTGAAACCATCAGAGCACTAGAACAGGGTTTAGAATTTTCAATTCCTAAAAGAGATATGCGAGCCATTAATTTCAAACCGCGACGAGAAATTTTGTCTAGCATAGGTACTCGTCTTCGCTTCAGTCAAATGACGTCCACTGCTGGACAAACCCCAAGGCTTTCCACAATGAACGGTCCTGCGCTGCTGTATACCTATACCTACTCGTGAACATTAAATTCACTGCTAGGTATCCATCCGGTTTTACTTAATAGCATTTAGTTCAGCCGTAGACTGCTGAAAATAATGATTAACTATTATGACGATGATGACATCCATGAAAATAAAGGTGGTCGCTTACTGTCGTTGGCCATGAAGACGTTGGGGTCGTAGGTGAACCCGGACTTGGTGAGCGGCGGGCCGCAGCTGGCGTGCTCGCCCGGCGTCTGCAGGTTGATCACCGTGCGGATGCCCCAGCTGGAAAGGGAGTTTGTCCCAGAACAATGTTATTCGACTAAGTTTGCGTACATAGAAAAAACCTAGTAAAACTATAGCTACATAGTATTTAAAATGTTTAGCTGTAAATTATTTTGCTATAAAAATGCATCCTAGTCATAATCCGGTGAGATAATTACCTATACTTGCCAGTGCCGGATTAAGCCAGCGCGGGGCCTGTAGCAAATTTCTATCAAGGGGCCCTTGGTTGGCTTTAGGTTCTCAAGTTTAGAGTATTAAATAAAACAAAACTGTTACAAATGAACTTTTCTTGATTTAATGTGGGAAAATTTAGAGATAACACTTTCAATATCAACTTCTTTAAGCAAATCATGCTCTATATTCAACAAAGTAAGATGATTAAGACGTTCTTGTCCTGTCGTGTTCCTTAATTCATTTTTAATATCGATTATAATTAAACATTATAGGCCAGTAGAATTACATTTTAAATCGGAAATAATTCCTAAAAAAGATTTTATCGCTTTAATGGCTTCATTGGTTGCCCATTAAGACTCTCCTAGGTTTTCGACTTCGACGGAGTTGTGCTGAAGTGGTGGGGGGCCCCCGAAAGGGGCGCTTTTTATGTTTTCCGGTTATATCGCGTAAAGGACTTACCCTATCAAAAAGTGGTCTTCCTGACGGTTGAAGGGCATTTAATCCTGCATTAAACAAGACCAAATTCATACGTTTTGGACAAACCGTTCTCGTGCAAATGTTCGGCAAAGTAGGAAAAATCGTAACTCGTAAGCCTTGATAGGGTGACACTGGTTGAGGCGCTCATTTTCAATATATATTTGGTCTTATTTAATGCAGGATTAAATGCCCTTCAACCGTCAGGAAGACCACTTTTCGATAGGGTAAGTCCTTTACGCGGTATAACCGGAAAACCGAAAAAGCGCCCCTTTCGGGGCACTTAAGCACAACGCCGTCGAAGTCGAAAACCTAGGAGAGTCTTTATGGGCAACTAGTGAAGCCATTAAAGCACTAAAATCTTTAGTAGGAATTGTTTCAGATTTAATTCATTTTTGTGTTTAATTCTACTGGCCTATTAGAGAACATTCATGTTAAAAAGTTCGTAAAATACCTACCTACTTATTTTTATGATTTAATGTGATGAAATCGAGTTTTAGATTTTCAAGTGAAAGTAAAACATAGCCTAATGTAAGATGTTTTACGCTCCTATCTAAATTAATCTTTTTTTATTTCGGTCAGACAGGCTTTGGAGCGCGGGGCCCCCAAATTCGCGGGGCCCGTAGCATTTGCTACTCTTGCTACGTGGCTAATCCGGCACTGATACTTGCCTTTTGGACACGCAACTTAAGGTCTAGGGAAACGTGCGTGATACTAAGGGAGTACTAATTTGATCTTGAAATTTTCCGTGGGATGAGACCAATAGCAATTTCCATCACTTATTGTGAGTCGTGAGGTTAGACAAGCTTTTTTCTTGGTGCGTGCAGCTTGTCTAATATCACGAGCTCGCAAACTTAAGTACCTACTTAAGTTGCGCTCGGGTGAGATTTGTATCAAGCAAGAGCAAGCACGATTTCTTTCATTGCTTTGTCAACAGCGTTTTATTCAGCCAATCGTTTTCTGGCAGCAAAACAAAGGAATACCTGTGGAACTGCTGAATAATGTTTCTGGCGGCGATGCTCGCGGTGCTCGGCCGCGCCATCGCCAGAATGTCGTCCGTGATCCTGCAACAGTTAAGAATCGAACATTGCATGGAATATTAAAAGCCAAAATATCACAATCTAGAGGGAAAGTAACATTTCTTCAACGGCATATATTTAGTAGGTAGGTACTGGTTTAAAACTCTGATCAGTGCAAGTTTTGTTTATTTATGCATTACAAGGCAGGTATTTGACCACAATCGCTCCTGATGTTAAGTGGGATGTAAGTAAGTAGTTAAAACTAAATTTTATTTTAGTGTAGGGTACTTATTGCTATAGGTACAATGTCGCAATCAAACTGGGAAATCTCCACAAAAAAGATGCACATAGTTGGAAATCGAACTGATATTAATTTCAACATGGAAATCATTGGGGGAGGCCTATGTTCAGCAGTGGACGTTCTATGGCTGAAACGATGATGATGAAGCTTTAGCTGAATTGTTCACAAAAATGTTTAAATCAGTTGTCATTTTAGGCTAATTAACTCAATTTGGCAAAACTGTTTAACTATTTACCGCAGCGTCCAATTTAAATATTTGAAAAAGAAAACATCTGCAATGGCAGTTGTTCTTGGCCAACATTAGAACTGTAAAAAAGTAAGTAATGTAATTATTATAATACGTGTTAGTGCGGAAGTCACGCGACCACAGTGGACATCATATATTTCGCTTAAAGTCAAGGATATCTTTTAAATTAATCACGTAAAGCAGTAATGTATTATGGTAATGTAACCGAAATGGGATTTTTCAGGAGTTTTTCTTGCCTTGGAAATATTTTTATGAATTTTGTTGGAATTTTAAAGCATGTTTAGAGAACTCTCGTGACCATGTAGAGTTTTTCCGATTTACCTACCTACTTATTTCTTTTCCTCTTTTTTGTAGGCTTAGTAGGTAGGTACCTATTTATCTTCTTCGTGAATCAAGTAGGTGCAGAATATGGTTAATTTTAGAAGTGTAGTTTTTAATTGCTTCAGTTCTTGCCGTAAAAGATAGTTTTCTTATAACTTTCGCTAGTAAGCTATAGTAACAAGTACTATAGCTTAGTTAGGCTATTAATTTCAAAAATGGTTGGTTGTTGTGTTGGAAATTGAATCCTCATTCAATTTGACCCACTTTGCGTTATTCAAATCCTTTCTGTTTACACAGTGTGCTTGGCCTTAACACCAAATCAGAAAAGAGGACGAGAAAGTTTAAGTACTTACTACAAGTTTCTTCTTTGTAGGTGTTAAGTAGGTGTTTATTTTCACAAAAAGAATAAGATTTGCTTATTAGGTAGGTAAGTATCTCATTTTGCTTACAGATATGACTTGCAGCGTAGTTTAGGTCTGCGATATTTTTTTATTTACTTTTCAGGTTTATGTTTTAGTTACTAATGGGCATGCTTCATCAAAGTTACAGTAATTAGTGGCAGGAATTAGTTTTATTTCGAGGTAGGCAGTTACTTTTTTAAATTACTGTTATAAAAGTCCAGCATTGCATGCATACCCCTGAATATACTGCTGTCAGCGACAGCAACCTTGTAGCACTAAAGGATGCATGTTCGCTCGCGTTCGCCGAACATGGTATGCGTGTAGCTACTTAAAGGAAGCTTCTGTAAATTACGATCTTATGTCATACCAGTCAGAATAGAGCCCCTGAACCGCGGCGTTACGCGGCTGTAGCTGCTCATACTGGCAGTGTGAGCCTTTACAGAGTAATGCACTCCGTAGCACTAAAAATATGCACGTTCGCAAGCGTTCGCCGAGCATGGTGAATCGCCAAAGGAAGTGTCATTTGATGGGCTTCTGTAACTTATGCCCGTTTTCACCATCAGTCCCTAATTTTTAAGTGACCCTTAAGGTAACACGTAACAGGAATTTTGTTTTCATAGGGGTCACTTAAAAATTCGGTATTGATGGTGAAAACGGGCATTAATCTCCTGTCTTACCAGTCGGAGTATAGCCCTTGTACCGCGGCGTTACGTGGCTGTGGCTGCTCATACTGGCATCGCGAGCTTCCACAAAACAACGTCGTTCGCACACATTCGCCGAGTATGATGTACAGCTGAAGGAAGTAGCTAGATAATTCTCTTGTCTTTACCAGTCGGAATAAAGCCCTTGTACAGCAGCGTTGCGAGGCTGTGGCTGCTCATACTGGCAGCGCGAACCTCCACAAAACAGTGCGCACTGGAGAGCCGAAGGAGTGCTCGTTCGCACGCGTTCGCCGAGCATGATGTACAGCTGAAGGAAGTAGCTAGATAATCTCTTGTCTTACCAGTCAGAGTAGAGCCCCTGTACAGCAGCGTTGCGAGGCTGTGGCTGTTCATACTGGCAACGCGAGCCTCCACAAAACAGTGCGCACTGGAGAGCCGAAGGAGTGCTCGTTCGCACGCGCTCGCCGATCGTGCTGTATAGAGCGGTGGGAGGGTGGTTGATGCGGCGACGGGACTCGCGGCTTCTGGGAACAATAAAAAGACATTTATAAAAAAAAAACACCTTTTAATGAAAGAACTTGGCGTAAGAGTAACATTTAAATAGTGAAATTTAAATTCTATATTGAGCTGGCTCTTTTCAGGGCACATAAACAAGTCCTAAATTGGCTGTGTTCTGTTATCGTACGAATAAAACTTAAAACTGCTTTCCAGCAGAAAGTTAAAGAAACTTTTTAATAATTATAAGGGAAAATTACTGTGGGTATTAACTTATTTTTTGATGTTTGCTAGTTGGGCGGAAAGTTAAGTAAAAGGTTAGTTAAAATTATGACAGACACATAAAGTTTCGCAACATTAAACAATATGAAGGCAATACGACAATGACAATGATCAAACCACAAGATTGAATCATGAATATTATGCTTATTACCGCATTACGTTCTCAAAGGAAAATATTAATTTAGTTATTGCGCATTGTGATTAAATTCAGACTCATGCGACATAAATAATTTTATTATTTATTTTATAATAAGGTGACCGAGTTTCTTCCACCACCACCACCATCTTCTGAGTAGAATAGCCCATAATTGTCCTGAATGGTATGGCAATAAGCTATAGTTATTTAGGACGTGTAAAATCGCTAATAAGCCTACTTGCAAAAAATAGTTAAATTACTTACTTTAATTATGAGCTTTTTTCCTTGGAAATGCATTCTGTGGAGAGAATGCGGTACAGCATAGTTAGCGCTAGGTAAGCTAAGTACTTACCACAGCTTGCAGCAACCGGAGTATAGAGTTTTGGCGAAAGACTTTTTAACTGTCACAAGTACTTTAAAACGAAAGATAGAACGACTTTTTTGCTGTTAAATGGATAAAACTATTACGCCTAGGGCTTCCAATCCCGCACCCCATGCTTGATCCCGGTATTGGCGGGAGTTGGAATTCAAATCCCGCGGGATCCCGGTATTGGCGGGATCCCGCATATAATTATGAAAAATGTTATGTGAGGCGAATAAAACAATACATTAATCAAATTAAATCAACGTAATTTCACTTTAATTAACGTTAAATGAGATCATTCTAATTACACTTCAATTACTGAGGTCAAATATAAAAATACAATCAACTTCAATGAAGTACAATAAAAAAAAAACCAGTTTCAGCTGAATGATAAAGAGTTATTTAGTTTCTTTCATATTTTTTTATCATTCAATTGGAAATGATTGCGAAGAAAACATAGCATGTCTAAAGTGTCGTCTGCCAAACTGCAGCGTATTTTAGAGGCAATATAGCCAGCAGCAGAGAAGGCTCTTTCGGCTTCCACACTTGTCGGTGGTATTCCTTTTAAAGAATTATATGTAAATGTGAGATATTTCCCCATTGACCCTCCGGACTCATAGAGTATTTCAGTAGCCGACCGATCGCGGTCGCAAATGGTCGTGCGCATGTTTCTTTACAGTCCCGCAAATCCCGCGGGATCCCGCCCCCATAATCCCGCAGCACGCGGGACTAAAAATGATGCGGGATCCCGGAATACCGAGNAAATGGTCGTGCGCATGTTTCTTTACAGTCCCGCAAATCCCGCGGGATCCCGCCCCCATAATCCCGCAGCACGCGGGACTAAAAATGATGCGGGATCCCGGAATACCGAGATCTCGGTATTGCGGGATTGGAAGCCCTAATTACGCCTCACAGCTTATTCTTAGCTGCAATTGCAAGCTAGCTTACACACCTGTCCAGAAAATGGAAGCGTCGGAAATTCACGAAGTTGATGCTGGACTTACGGCGGTCTTTGTTGAACATTAGCTTCGCCATTAAAATACGTGCGTTTGGCCTGAAATACTTAATGCAAATGAGGGAATGGTGACTCCGGCTTTCTTTGTGCGATGTGGGTCCCACAAGCAAACAATTCGCTGTCCAAACATTGGTAGCGACAGCAGAAAAGACGTAGCATTTCATTTAGGATTTTTTTCTACTATTATTTTAGAGCAAAGTACAGTTAAAAGAGTCAAACATAGGACCAACAAGTTCACCTTTCCAATTCTTCTACTTATAGTAGGAGTAGCCAGGTATACTAGATATCACGTACCATTTTCCAATAAAAGAAGATAAAAGAAACCTAGACCCAAAATTGAGAATACAACCACATTTAGATCTGAATATACA